ATCTACATCAACTTCAATAACAATTCATGTTCTGCAATTGGGTTAATATTTCTATTGGTTTGACAAATAGTTACGTGTAACTGTTTGCTGTTACTATTTCATTAGAATACTGTAACTCTTTCGTGTAAGACTGTTTCTGTGTAACTGTTTCCGCACTTCACTATTGTTACTTTGTTTTTTTTTAAGTTACATAATATTAGAAATTTCAATAAGTGATTTTATAATATTTGAAATACCACAAACAACACAAAGAAAATGAAAGGAAGAAGCAAGCAAAGAAAATCGGATCAAAAAATAAATTCAAAGACAACATATAGGACACCCCCTTCGTAAGGGCACCTATAATCTGGCTCTCTGCCTACCTTGTGCTCCCAGTTCCTAGAGACAAATAGGATGTCCCTCTCATGTCCCTTGTTAGAGTCAAGGAGATGAGTAACCAAGTAACGATCCTTGTTCCTGACTACTAAGTAATAGTTTTCATCACCAGCAAACTTGATGATATAGCAATAGAGTATCTCCCAACGACCAAGGTTGGTCCCCAGGAGATTGTTCAGTGTCACTACCTCCATTACTCTCCTAAAAAAGTTGGGGCATAACTATAGAGGGCAAAGCTCTAAGGCAAAAATCACCCTAAGAATGAGAGGGTGAAAGGGGAATCTGGCACTTCTATCGGTGAAAGCCATGGCATACATTGGAATGGACTCTCTATATCCAACAAGAGCTTCATCAGCCTCAACAATGCTAATGCTGACATCATCAGGGATGCTGCAAGGGGTTTTGAAAGCAGGAATATTGTCTTCATGAGAGAAGCCATAGAAGGGGATGTAAATAAACAAGCAAACAAAGAGGAGTATAAGACTAACAACTATCATATAAATGCTTTGAAGATGCAAAACTGGTGGAAGTAGAAAAATGAGGAATAAGATCCTCTACAAAGACAAGGAAAGGTACCAAGAAATGGCGTTAGAGATGTTAAAGGACGCAACATTAAATGCAGGTGACCTTTTTTGTATGAGCAATACTATGTAACTCAAATCTGCAATGCAAATTTGTATCTCAAATGAAGGGGGCCATTAGATCAATGAGTCTCATTTAAAAAAGTTGATGGGATCTACTCATTCAATGATCTCCCTTCATTTGGGATGTAAATTTGGATTACATAATATTTCCCTTTTTGTATATAAAAAGAAACTAACAATTTTTTTTACAAGAAACAATGCAAGGCATTAAATGAAAGAGATGATTAAAATAGGGAATGTCAACCAATATGTGCCATAAGGCAAACATGCTTTGGGGGCAAGTGAAGGGGCTCAGAAGGACTGTGCATGATTAGACCATTAAATAAAGACACATCATAAATCACATGGCAAATACATGTGTCATAAAGCATGTGACAAAAGGTATCACTAGGTGAAGGGAGAGTACCTTTGGCTAGGATAAATATGGACCAATCGGGCAAGTTCTAGCCCTAGCCGACCAAATACTAAACTGCTTGGTCAGCATAGCGATCGAGAAATCGATAAAAATTGAGAAAACATAAGATTTGACGTTTACCTAGGACACAATTGTCATAAAGGATAAGATCGAACCAATGGATAGCTAAGCTATCCCCAATTAATCAGAGGTGGTGTTGAAAATTCAATAAGGAAATTACATAAATCGTAGGTGCACATTATATATATGTGACCTAAATAATCGATCAAGAAAGAGATCATAAGTGTGTGCCGAGTAAAGCCTAATAAATTATACTCAGAAAGAGATACAATGAAACTAGAATTCGAATAAGAATCTAATTTTATCTAATAGTAATAAAGACCTATTCGAATAGGCAGCTAGGTCATCCCTATAAACCCTAGGCAGTTGACGATATAAGGCATGAGCATTGATTATGGTGCACATTGTGAACATGTGACCTATAAAACCAACTAGTAAGGTGGAAGACAAATTGGACTATAGATTAGACTAATAAGAATCGAGTGGGGCTATTTCTACCCCATAAATATCTTTTTTCACCCCATCAATCTCTCAATTATAAAACTACTAAGCTCACTCCTATTATACTCACCACGCTACTAACTAAGTCCATCACACTCTATACCAACCTCAGTCATGACTAAACTAAACTTGTGCGATATCTAACTAAAATAAAAAAATTGTAATAGAGTTTTTCTTAATATATATCTTGATGTAGCTAATATATATATATATATATAACCCTAAATACATTATACACAAACCTTAAATGAAAGTCATTGATACTGGAAAAAAAAACACATACAACACGATAAAATAAAGGTAAAACACTTGAATATTATTTAAGAGATCTATACTAAATAATCAAGTTGAATATATTTTTGTATAGGGTGTATGAGATGAGGTATAGAAATAAACTCTAAAGATGAAGATTGAGATGAGTTTAGTCATTTGTGGGATGGATATAGAATGTGGTGGACTTAGTTATTAGTAGGGTGAGCATAGAAAGGATGGGTTTAATAATTTTATGATTGAGAGTTTAATAGGGTGGGAATGAAAATTTGTGGAGTGAAAATAGTCTCACCCATAAGAATTTGGCTAAGTTTGGGGTGTCTCCCCTTGCTCTACCAGAATTCTAAGCCCAACTTGGTTGGGAAGATATTCCTATAAATGCTGGATAAATTTAAGTTTTAAGGTACACATTTCTCTCCGTTCAATTTGCTTGCCTCTAGTCGGCCAACCCCCAATTTCTGACAATTTGTTCGTTTTCCAGGAAAAATGTGAACTCTATTCGTTACCCTCAAAGAAAATCACACACACAGTCTCCACATCATCATCAATCAAAGGTACAAGATTTTTTTCTCATACAAGTTACATGACTTTTGGTCTTAGTGATTTAGTCATACGAAATCTTGGTGCACCACATGGAATTAGATTAGAATGGATTGAAGGCATTTTAGTTAATCCAATTTCAGTTCTATGAAATAAGTGATCTAAATAAACATCAAAGTGGATTAGATACGTATTATGTAATTCTTAGTCCTACACTCGGCAAACACTAGATTAAAATTGATATTATTCTTGCCCCCTTTTTTCATTATATATTTTGTCCATAAACACATGATTAATCTGTATTGTCTAATCCAAGCCCTATTTTTCTAATACGACCTTCTAGTTTGTCGCACGGTTTTAGTAAGATTCAATAGCTTGTATCTTGATGGTGGTTGGCTAAACTCCTAGTGAATGCTAAGGGTGAAGCTGTCTTCAAAAGGTTTCAGCTTTCAATTTCTTGCCTCTGATTTATTAGTTGCTTCATTTCGGTGAAGTTATTCCTCTGTAAAAAATTTGATTCGTTCACTGTTAACTACATATACAGTCGATGTTTGAAAAACTGTCTGATTATTTAACTAGGGCTAATTCTATGGTACCAGGAAAAAAATATCGATACCAAAAAAAATTACTACTTTTTAATCTTCAATTACACATTTTAAAAATGAAATTATAATTGTTTAAAGTAACTCCATGATCGATCATAAATACCCATAATTGGATCAATACATAGTCTTCCTCGTTTGACTAGTTCATCATGTGTTGATCAATAGCCAATGACTATTCAAGTTAACGTGTTGGTGGATTTACGAACAACATATTCCAGTTGCAACAAAATCCCCATTTGGTCTCGGTAGAGTTTTAACATCCTCTCTTTACTTATATTTAGTGTAAATAAAATTAAAGTACCAAAAAGTTACTTTCTGATATCATTTAAAAGATAATTTTTATCGTATTTTTATTTGAGGAAACAATTGAATTATCATATACCGATAACTCGCTTCGGTGGCAAAGTCGAGTCCAAAATCAACTATTCATTTTCATCTGCTATTTCTCACTTTCTTTGTTGGGAGATTGTGTTTGAAATTCTTTCAGTCCCTATGGTTAGACCTCGGTTTCATCGAGTACTTTACACCTTCCCTAAGTGCACTTAAGTTTGCACTTCCAAAGTCTTAGAATCATGGTGCACTTGGAAGGATTCATGAATCGCATGGATCATCAGAATCAAGTAAGCATGTATGGGATCCGCAGATTTGATTTGGAAATGAAATATATAAGGATAAATTACACTTTGACCCCTTCTACTATGACCTTTTCACTTTGCCCCTTCAACTATTGAATTTTTCACATTATCCCCTCAACTATTTTAATTATTTCACATTGGCCTAATTGCAAATGTTCGTAATCTTTTTGGACAAAAATTATTAATGTGTCAAGACAAAGTGAAAAAATTTAATAATTTTTCTTTAAATATGTAACGAACGTTAATAATTAGATAAATGTAAAACTAATCAAATAATTGAGTATGTAATGTAAAAAACATGATAATTGAGATAAAAATAAAAAAGGTCATAATTTAGGTGGTCCAAGTGTAAATTGAGAACATTAAATCACGCTTGGAAATTGGGCGTACAATGAGTAGTTTACCTGTGTTCCTACAAAAGCAAAAGGTAAGAGTAATTTTAAGTGTAGTTTGGTAATATTTTTTAAGTACTTTTTTCCTTTTCAAGTAACATCTGTTGTAATTTCTTTTTTCATTTTCCCTTGTCCGAAATTTCTTTCTTCTTCCAAGTTTAATGTCATATAAGGTAATATACACATGCATATATATTGTATTATTTTCATCCTGAGATTTACATAGATCACTTTTATTCTTCTTGCTTTTATGACTTTTATTTATTTTATTTTTTGGCTTAAAAGCGTTAATTATGAAAATTATACCAGACATTACACAAATAATTCACTATTTCATAGGCTAAGAATGCACAAAGACGAAAAGCTCATGATTGGTGTGGAGGGAAAGATCTATTTATGATATAGATCAAGAAAGAGTTGTCTCATTTCACGAGCTGGTATAAAATATTTCCGTGCATCATGAAGGAACTAAAGGCCACAAGCAATTCGATTCTTCATCCTCTCCACTATCACGTCACTGGCCAATAACCCATATGCATCCGATACACAGCATGGCAAAACTCTTACTGGAGAGAATTATAAAAGAGAATCAACACTACCGAGATACCGATGATGACTGGAAATGCTGTCACTAAGTACAGTGCTCCATATCCCTGCAATGCACAGAGATGTGTTCACTCAGTCAAAATACCCAAGCTAGAATAAACATAGACAATGAAATTCAGTCACAATAGGTGGATCTTTGGCATTTAACCTCGGGTTACTTTGCTTAATAGAACTGTTTTCTTGCTTCTTTACGTGCCACATCTATGAGGAGTTTCATTGCGTTGCTGTTGCCGGACATTCAACAGGATTGAAGGCAGTCCTATTTTATTTTTTACCAGTTTTTTTTTCTTTTTGATTTTATTTTATTTTTCTCTTTCTTTCTTTTGAGGATATCTTGTCCTCCCATCTGTATTTTGTTTCACTTTTCTCTTACTAATATTTTTCTGTTATCAAGTAATAAAAACAAATTAGGTCACTCCGCATGTTCAATAAATAACATTGAGCTGTGTTGCGACTGGAAAATTATGGTTATGAAATTTTCTGGCCAAGTATCAGAATTAGGTTCTTTAAGTGATAATGTGAGTCAATTGTCATTTATTGTTGAGATGGATCTAATAGTTCAACATTTGTATTTTCGCTGTCTTTAATCCTTAGAACAATCGTATTTTTGCTCTTTTTATTGCTCAAAACAATGAAACTGATATCTCAAATTTCACCTTCACAAGTTTGTAAGAGTATAATAAATTAATGCACGAACTATAATATTTGTGTATTCCAATCTGTTAGAGAATTTCTATAGGTTCAGCATCAATAACCAAAAACTCTTTACCCAAACACTATGAATGCAGCAACAATGCTTAATGGGCATTAATCCCGGGATAAAAAAAAACTCAAGCAAACACTCTGCCCTGTGCCAATTAACCAGAGAAAACTGAATAAAGGTTCTAGAGAAGAAAAAACATACCACAGCTGGAGGCACTTCAGTGTCATCACTGACATCAATGTCCTCAATTTCAGCAGCTGAATCCCAATCAATGTTGAGTCTTTTTGCGGCCTCTTTGGGATCAATACCAGTATCCGTGGCTTTTGCATATAGGGATTTGCTAGGCTTTTTCTTAGTTACTTCAACCTATTCAACAAGCACAGTATGGAATAATGAATTTGTAGGAGAAATCTGTACAATTATGGTGATGGTAGTTTTCTCCGTATGGCACAGCATTCTGATTTTACCAGATCAAATGATACAATAAAATTAACAAAAAAAATAAAAAAGGAAAAGATAAATCTGATGACATCCTAGAAAAAAAAAATTTATTCTGTTTTATATGTTATGATTGGACATAAAGATATGAAGTTCCAGAATTTCTGAGAATACACTCTAAGCTATCATGCACACTTTGAGAAGTTGGAGCATCCAGAAGTAAGCAAGTGTGATAAAGATTCAAATCTACCTATTTCCAAATATAAACGCTCAGAAACTGTGTGTATGAACACAAACCAAAATTATTTTCGGATATCTAACCAATTACACTGGATAAAGATAACAATGAAGAAGTAAAGGATTTCATTGCCCATTACCATAAACAAATCATTTAACAAGCAACCAAACTTATAGTGTCTTAATAAAAAGGGAGAAGTGTACTATCATAACGAGGTCACTATAGTAAAAATGCTAAAGAAAAATGAGGTTACTCTAGTGAAAATAGTAAAGAAAAAAAAAACTGGGGAATCCTGTGGTTGTCATTATCTTCACTTTAATCCTCTGCTCTTTCCTCCCTCTTTGTTCTCTTCCTCTTTCTCATTTCCTTTCAAAAAGAAGTTGGGTATTTGAAGATATAAATGGTGGTTCGATGGATCATACTGGCACCGAAAGTGAGAATCTCACCACTTGTGTCTAACCTCTGAAATCTAATATCAGTGATCATCTTGCAGGGTCATTATTATGAGTACCTCTTTCAAGTTACCATGCTTTGAGCACAATCAAAACTCCTAAAAATTCTATTAATCAAAACTCCTAGAAATTCTATTAATCAAAACTCCTAAAAATCTTATTAGTATCATCTTGTGTTTCATTCTCAATCTTGATATTGTTCTTTGAGAACAAATTTCTCATCAGCACTCTAGAGGCACTTCTTCTCATCATCCTTTTCCCCATTGTCCTATGAATTATTTTATCTGCATTCTTCCTTTCCTTTTGATTAAAAGGTAAGGTTTCCCCTGTAAAATATGGTCATAAAAGTAACAATTTATGGCTCCATTATAGAAGAGACAGCTAGAGTTTTACCATTAACTAACTACTTTGTCCTAGAATTCTGGGTTAATCATCCAAATTGAATTGTCCATATTAGTATTAATATTAAGTGTACAAAACCATAGCTACTGACTTTCTCAAACTTAAAAATATAGAAAATATGGTTAGAGCTTCCAATTCCAAACCGATGACAACGAGTGCAGAGGCCCCTTAATCATATAAACCAATCTTGGGTGATCCTCACTATCGATGTGGGATACAAGCCCTCTTTATATCCTCCATCACGTGCAACCCATCGCATGTTGGGTTTGTTGAAAAAACCAAGTCAAGAATGCTACAAACAAGAAAATAAACAAGTAATAGAAAACTTATCGATAGAGGCAAATAGGCATTGTCTTTAAGAGTAGATTTCACCCTTTTGAATACGAAACTTGGTGCAACAAGTTATGGCGCCCTACCCTTCTGGATTCAATTATCGCTTCTCCACAAGAGTGCACCCGCAAATGTAGAGATGTTTGAACACTCTTGATCATTCCCAAATCGAACAAAATATCAAATAGTAGTATATTTATTGGTATATCAAAACTTTGGTTGTAGCAGGTTGAAAAGCAATTCACAAAACCCAATGTGTGAAAAACCCACCGGTAAACAAGTTGAATATGTAAAAGATCTTTTCCTCAAGAGATGTCTTCTCTCGGTGTCTCCTTCTCTCGGTTTCTGTATCTCAATTTTCCTTTTTCTTTCTTACTTCATAGAATAGTCAAACAAACTTTCCATTGCATTAAATAGAATCCCAAAGGATGCAATAGTTGGATGCAAGCCAATAAACCTAAAGGATGCAAAGCTTTGAATGCGTCAATTTGGAAATGTCCAATCGCACTGAACATTGGGTAGGGTGTCATTTGAATTCAAATTTAATATTCAAATACCATAGATCAACCATCACTTTCTTTGACACACACACACACACACATATATATATATTAATCTAATGCTATAATACAATGGTCATTCTATTTGGATAGTTAACAGTACAATCTTTAAAGCTTTAAAATAGTTCAAAACCATTTGAAACTAAAGGCGTGCAACGGTTTGACGCAAATTTTGACCCAACGCATTAAGGGCATGAAAGGTCATGAAAAACTTAACAATATATATCTCACATAGATTTTGTATTTTGAAACAAACATAATAAATATCAACAGGGCTAACAAAAACAAACAAACAAGCAAACAGAAAAATTCAAATATGTAAGATACTTGACCCACTATCACTAAGACCTTGCTCTGATACCATATTTAGGGGTGTCAATTTTGTCAATTGACACGAACTCAACAGGACACAAAACTCGAAAATGACATGACCAATTAAGTTTTGATACGAAAAACATGATTAACTAATACTATAAGCAAAAAATAAATACTTTATAATTTTTTTAGTTCCTTTACATAATATTATGAGTTGTTTTAGAATTAAATATTTTCGTACTGATAAATATATTGACTCAAACATGACACAAACTGAAAAAAGAAATGACCCGAAAATCACATGATACGACACGATTGACACCCTTAACTATGTTAAATCATTCAACTCAAACCGGTTAACAATGAGTGGAGAGATCCCTTTAATCATATAGACCAATCTTAGGTGGCCATTAAAGTGTGATGCAAACTCTCTGTCACAGAAAGAATATAAGAAACCCCCCAATACAAAGTTTCTACACTGAGCTAAAACTCAATCAGTTTGAAGCAAAAATAAAATTTGACACAACCTTTTGACTTAACAAGAAGCAACCTATATTTGAAAATTACCCCAAAGAAAACTAAGAAAAAAGAAATAAGGAAACCATTGTTTTCCACTAAGCATAAATTTAGGAGCTGATTCCTATAGCCACATAATAATGTGATGTCAGTATTTTCCATGGGGCAACATCAATAACTTACATAGGACAACTCCTATATGTAGGCATGTCCAGGCGAACAGTTTGCCTATCCGATCGATTTGATGAGATGTCTTAAAATGAGTTTTGATACAAAATACTTAGTCGATCTACCAGACATTTGCACCGATCAATTGGTTATGGATGTTACAAGCCTAACAACTACTTCTGGTTGGCCGAAAGCTATCTAGATCATACTAGAATTTGAGCCAAAATGTGAGTAATGACAATTTTATGAAAGGATCAATTAGATAAATTGAAACTTTTGGAAGGCAAATTAATAGTAGACCATTGAGTATACACTTATGAAAGTGCAAAAAACCATTGTGTTTCATCTTGTGGGATCAACAAAGGGAAATTGCTAGTTTGAGTTGTATTTACTCTTTCTCATTGTGATCTTGAATTGGAAAATTCTTGTAAGGGAAAGATAGGTTTGATTCTTCTTGAGAGGTGTTTCAAAGGTTGTATTTTGTATCAAGAAGAGATATTATAAAGGGGTTGGCTTCAAATCTCGAAGAGGACGAAGATTGTAAAGGTTGGTCTTCACCAATCGAAGAAGACAAAGATTCTAAAGGTTTGATCTTCATTGTTGAAGAAGATCGTGAGAGCAGAAAGAAATGACGTACGTCATAGTGTTTTAGGCGAACCTTTATAATTTGGGTTTGTTTTTCTTCTCCCAGTTAACTACTCTTGCACTATTAATTGCTTATCATTCGTTATTAAGAATTGATTTTGCATCACATAGAACAATTTGTAATTGCGATTTCAATTCAAATTAGGAACAATCAACCTAATTCATGGCTAACAATTGATATCAAAGTAAGAGTTTTAGATAAATCGTTTTTAACAACAATATAGTTATAGATCATGACAATCGTAGGAAGTAAATAGTTCAAAGGCAATCGACGACTCGACCTCCATTCTTTAATGGTCATGATATGCAAATTAGAAGGCTAGAATGAAAATTTACAAGGTATCTCTAGATGATGATATGTGAGATGACCAGGTGAGTAGGGATGCAGCTCCGTGGACCGCTCATCGGGCCTAATAGGTAGTGGTATCACACCCTTCTCAAATGAACCGTATATGACACTCTCGCGTCAAACAACTCCATCTCAGAATCAAGACTTCCCCTTTCCTTTGACCAATGGGTCCTCAAATGAACCTTTCATCCCTTTCTATTTCTCAATAAGTGAATTTTTTTCATTCATTCATTAATTGATTCAAGATACCTTTAGCTTGTTTCCAAGTTCAAGCGCTAGAAGTAGAAGCTAGTCGCCAGAAGCCAAGAAGGATCCAAAAACATTAATATTAATGGATATGCATATGTTTAGGGAGAACACAAGTTCATTAGTCTAAAACGTTTTGTTGTTGACATGATGTCAAAAGTGGGAGAAGTATATGCACAAAGATCAAAATTTCGTTTCAATCACTGAAGAAATGGAAACGTTTTGATAATGGTTCATAAACATTTTTGAAACATAATGGAAATGGATAAAACATTTGAGAATTTATTCACAAAATATTCCAAAATATTGCTCGAAATATATCAAAACATTCTAAAACACCTCGAACCATTGAAATTTTAATTCCATTACTAATTCGTTTCGGTTTTCCCAAAAACAAAAATATCTTGACCGTTTCAAAACAATATTTTGATCATTAATTTTGATTCAAACACTGATGCGTTTCGATCTCCTTGAAAACGAAAACTTTTTGCTTGTTTCAACCATTTCAAAACAATATTTCGATCATTGGATGTGCATTAATATACGCATCTAACATTATATTTAAGCATATGCTTTGGGAGGGAAAAAATATTACAAATGGTAAATTTATGAATATGCATATGCTCAAGGAGAAGATGGGTTACATGTGTCATTAGTTCAATGTGTTTTGTCATCTTGCACAAGTTTGATAGAAGAAATTGAATGTTGAATATGCTAAATAGTGCACAAAGAAAGAGCTTGATGTGCAATATGCTAAATCGGACACAAAGAATTGAATGAGAAAATGTACAATGAGTAATATGGTCAACTAGATGCAAAGATTCGAAAGAAATGCAATTTATTGAGTTAAGTTATATTATGAGGAAATTGACGTAAAATTTTCTTGTCTTGATCTCTAGGGGTGAAGCACAAGTGCCTTGACCTTAGATAGACTTTTAGGATTTATGTAGGATGAATTAAAAAATGATTCAAAGAGTTTGGATCATGCTAAAAGTGAAAACAAGATCAAAATTGTTAAAAAGAGGTATTGGAAAGAGGAGAAAACCAATAACAGTTGGCCTATTCTAGTAAGTCAACTATGCAGCATATCGGTAAGTGTTAAAATAGAGGTATTAGAAAGAGCAAAAAATGGGTCAGTCGACCAATCTTGCAACAGAATAGTACATTGATCACCTCACAAGTTGACCGACTTGCCTGTGGCAATAGTCTGATAAACCGAATACCGACATTGGAAGCCTAACCGCTAATCCCGGTAGACTGAAAGCTATCCAGATCAATCCGAAATTCGATCCAAAATGTGATTACTAGTTATTTTATGAAAGGAATCCACAAATAAGGGTTCAAATAGATGAATAGCAATTTTGGAAGGCAAAATAATGATAGAACATTGAGTATACAATTGTGAATGTTAAGAAAATAACTGTGCTTCATCTTATGAGACTGTATTTTGTATAAAGAAGAGATATTGTAAGGGTTTGGTCTTCACATATCAAAGACGACAACGATTGTAAAGGTTCATCTTCAACCACGGAAGACAACGAAGAGTGTAAAGAATTAATCGTCACTTGTTGTAGAAGATTGAGATAGTGTAAAGAAAACTATGAGGAGAAGGTTGAAAAGAGGACGTCAGCCATAGTAGTTTGGTCAAACCTCTATAAATTGTGTTTGTTTTTCCCTTACCAGTGTTATGAAAGTTGCGCCTAGGCGATCGGCAAAGTCCAGGTGAAGCAAGCTTCAATGAGGTGAGATTAACGCAACCAAGCGATCGCTTTGTCGCTTAAATCCAGGTGAGTGCTTCACTGAAGTTTTTAAGTTGCTTTCTTTTTCTATTATGCACCGTTAGACTAATCAATTGAATTAAAACTTTGATATGCCCAGAACAGCCGATTGCTCCTATATATATGTCTAGTGGCGGCTAAACCCTAATCGACCCTGAACTTGCTTAGGAGACCAGAAGTCGCAGCTTCGATAGGTATGTTCTCTTCTCTTCTTTTCTGCCACTCTGCCTCTCTTTTTCTCTTGTTCTTGTTTTGTGACAAACATTTACTGAGTCAACTCTGAATTTGTGAAGTTAGAACTTGAATATTTAGAAATAATTAAATTAAAATATTTGCTTGTTTTCATACTATTCACTTCGCTCCTTGCATTTTTATACTATTCTTCTTCTCGCGCCTTTAATAACACTACCCTTAACTACTCTTACTATTAATTTCTTATTATTCATCATTAAAGCATTGATTTTGCATCACTCAGATCAATTGTACAAATTGCTAAATTGTGATTCAATTCAAATTAGGAACAATCAACCTAATTCATCCCCTCTTAGGTTAACACCCAAGCCATACTCAACAGATAACAGCTCTAAACACATGAAGTATCCGTTACATAACACAGTAGGCAATAGTAAGGAAGTGGGGAAAACATAGGTTCATATTCTAAGGTCTTTTCACCGCAGTTCCGGTTAGGGAATGAAATATCTGAATGCTTAAGCAATTCTCCAGCCATCTACAACAGTAAGTACTGCTGGAAAATGGAAGGAATAGGCTTTGGAAACAAGGACCAGTAAGAATGAGGGGGAAAATATGGAATAATCTCAACTGGGATGTCGGACAAGCTTTCCAGTGCAAGAGTTAAGCAACCAGCTGTACATAGAAATCTTCAATCCACCCTTGAGTAAGCTTAGGTAAGAAAAGAATATTGAGAAATAGAGAAAAAATAAGAAGAAGAAGAAGAACGGACAGCAAGAAGAAGGAAAGACAGAGAGGAAAGAACAGCAACAGCAGGGGCCAATGCTAGGTTTTCTCTCCAAAATAATATCCTCCTATTGAAAATAATGGAAGATTTATAAGAATGAAACCATAGATCTCAACCCTTCATCCCCCAGTTTAGGTGTCATCATCTTATCACTTCCACATCATTTAAAGAGTCATGTGCTAGGCATGTAACCATGTAAATAACTTGAGACAAAATGTGGGCATGCCCCACATTGTAAAACTCTAACACAACATAAATTAAACCAACTGTTAAACTATCAGATATAATCAGAAATCCTAAAACTAAGCTATAACATATGCCCTCAAAAATTGAGGTTTGGTTCAGTTTCTATGTACTCATCGACTACTCATATGAAGTTGTCTACCCATTAAGTAGATATTTTCAACTTCAACTAGTATTGATAAATCATTATTAGAGGTCGAAGAGAAGTGTCAACTATCCCTATTTCCACCATCTGATCATTAAAATCCATGGTTTCTCAGGTAATCTCAAGCCATGACTCAAACTTTTATCCGAGTAAAAATTTTAGTAAAAGGTTTGATTTAGTAGAAAACATTCCAAAAAACAATCTGAAATTGCTATTCAAATCCTTTTAAAGATTCTCATATTCTCCCAGGAGCCCATTTCTTTATTTTTTTTCCTCCAAAACTTTTTTCCCTCTTCTCTTTCCCCTACTTATTTCCCTCCAAAATGTCTTCCTTGCCAAAACAAATAAAAATATGGTGAGTTTGAATCTGCAGAGTACAAACTTTAATCGTTGATATGCAAGGTTGAAGTTTCAATGGTGGGGTTGCAGAATCTCTAACAGTGGGTTGGCGCAGAGTCAAACTTCGATTGTGGGCTTGCAAAATTTGTGTGAATATGGTGTGTTTGCAGAGTCGAAATTCAACGGTTGTGAAAATAAGATGAATTTGCAAAGTCGAACTTCAATGGTGGTGCAAAGTGGTAAGTGTGAAATATTTGAAGAAATATAATAAAGACGTTGAGTGGCATTCCTCTAATTTCAGGGGTAAAAAAATAGCCATTCGAGATTTGGGTTAATAACAAATGTTCCCTTGATTTGGTGAAATATCTAAGCATCCCTCAGTTTGATACTGATTTAAGTAAAGGATTGAAGGATGTTACTTGAGGGTTTTTACTCATTTTTTCTTTCTCTGTTTTTTCTTTTTTTTTTTTTCTTTTGAATTTTTTTTTGCTTTTGATATGGTCTTTGTTCGAATTTAAATTTGAGATTATGTCTAAATAAGGGTTGGAGATCCTCTAACAATCTAAATAAAAGTCAAAATGGTTCAGAACTCTACAAAAAACCTGTATATGAATGTATCCTAAACACTTCACTTTTTTCTTTGACACATACCAAATAAAACAAAAATTAGCAACTTTTTCCTTTACAATTACAAATGTGCTTAAATTACAAATGTGCTTAAAGTGTAGTACCTCTAAATTGGGCCATTGAATCATTTCTTCAGCTAACATCCGAAGAGCGACACGGTCTTTTGGGATTTTTCCCTCATTTACCTACACAAACACAGTATCACCAATAAGGCATGCCAATACATAATTAATCTGTTTGAGAGAGAAACAATCGAGGGCTTGTAATTTTGATATGCAAAATATCTTATCCTCGTGGCAGTTTCGTCATACAATAACCATGTCCTTTGACATCAAATGAGAATATCCCCCAACAAGTTAATTTGTTGTTACGTGGATAGAATACAACCCACCTAAATGAGAATGATGAGCTGAATTCTCCAAATTGTTAAAGCAAAACAAGTGGAGCCGCAACAAATTTAATCCTGCCAGGACTCGCAAGCAATTTGCACTTAGCTAATGGTGAACTTCCAACAATAAACTAAATCAACTCTCTTATCCTAATCACAATATGGACCTTCATAAAAGTGAAATTAGAAAGAAATACAAGGAAGAAAAACAAAAGGAATAGAGATTTCTATTATCTGTTAAGTTTCATAGTTTTTGTTGTCTATTATAAAAACTTGGATCTTTCACTTTAAAAAGAAAAAAGCAGTTACAGCATATATACCCAAATTAAAGGAGTGCTCTGGGAAACCATGATAGCGTAGGAAGACCGTCAGAGAGATAGACCAAGATGGAGCTAAAAAAGCAAACGAGCAAATGTACATTATTCTAAATAAAATTACTCAGAGAGTAATAGTCACACAAATGGCACTCAAGCCTTCTACGCTAGCAGAATAAAATGATAAAAACATTTTCCTACACTTCAAGCAAAATTGTCACCTATTTGGCCTTCAAACTCTGCACACTATAAAAAATTAAATCAATTCTTACCATCTAGCAAATAAAGAGAAAATAATCCCATAACTCTTATTTCTTTGAAGATGCGACAGGTACAAGCAATTTTTGACAATCCAATTGTCAACAAACATCTTCATAAGATTTAAATTCAAGAGATCCCTTCAGTTAAAAGAATTATCTTAGTCATACCATAACAGTCCTTTCAATAAAGAAGATACCTAACATATGGAATATAACAAGCAGTAAAAGCCACCACTCTATGCTGAGCTTCAACAATTGATCTAGCAACATTATTCATCTTCCTCTTACCATTTACATATATAAAAAAAAAAAAAAAAAAGCAATAACCAGGAGAAATTTTTTTTCTTTTTGATTATAATGATACATCCAATCAACAGCAACAACACAGTATTTTCCTTATTTCTCTTTAAGGCATACACATGACGTCCTTTCTAAAAGCATCTTTGAAATATATCAGTTATAATAGACAGATATAATGTGGAACTAGAAAGAGATACATATGCTAACTATGCCAACTCCAAGACAGGTATCCAGCAAAGGTGTATTCGAATTCATCAATTGGCCCAAAAGTATTTCCTACATTCTAGATTGAATGCTACATAAACAAGGTTACAGCCATTGGGTGGGTGCTGGTGTTTGCCTAGGCATCTGACCTCTCTAAACCCAAAGTTTCAGATACGAGGACTCAGCCGGAAAGTGTCCAAAAGAAGTAGGGTATGCAATACATGGACATTTCCAGCAGGGACCTTCAAAGCCGGAAACTGTCCAAAAGAAGTAGGGTATGCAATGCATGGACACTTCCAGCAGGGACCTTCAAAGCACCCCCATTGACTTGTTCATGTGATGATAGGGTCGATCTTCTTGACCTAAAGCCAACTTTGATTCAGAGCTCTACCCCAGAGATTGTGGTACCTAAGGAGATCTGCAGCTTTTTCTTTCTTCAAATGTGGGAGTTGGAGTTTCCAACATGTGGATTCAAGTGCCTGACACATCCCACAGCTGCGCCTGCATTGTAACATGTCGACACCAGTACGTAGGCTCTACAAGCGAATCCATGTGCAATCTAACAAATCACTTCAACTCATTCCAAACCTAACCATGGGCTACATGAGGTACAAGATATAATCTTATATTCGAGGACACAATATACTAATATCCTGGTGTAATTTAATGACATGATTTCTCTGACATCCTCCAAGCACCCAAAGCTACATGAAAATCATAAGGTGCTCCATTTAATTTAACTATAGTGATTTGCAAATTGGTATTATAAGAGAGAAAGGTTGGCCCAACCTTTTGATTAGGATCGTGTTGGAATAGAATAGCTATTATAAACATAGTTGTTAGTATCGTACGATACGCAATACGTATCGTATGATAAGTCATGATACCGAGGTAAAACAATACGAATCGGAGTTTTGTATCATTTTTGCATAATATCGTCCGATACACGATACGTTTTTACGATATGATACGTATCGACCGATACTCGAAGTCTTTTTTTTTTTTTTTTGGTAAATCAATCACAACCACTCCAATTGAACGACCGAAATTCCTCCAAAATCAAAGCCCACCACTACCCTCATTGATAAAAAGAAGAAGAAACCTGTTGGAGAACGATGTCGATCGCTGCCTCGTGCTTGTGAATCGATCAATTTGTTCTTGTGAATCGATCGCTGCCTCTCGATCACTGTTTTTCTCTCTCTGCCTCCCGATCGCTCTCTCTCGTTCTTCTTTTTTCTTTTTTCTTTTTTTTTTCCTGATCATGCGTGTCTGCTATGCTTTAAAATAGGAAAAATTACACTTAAGCCCCTTGAAATTTATTACTTAATCACTTAGACCCCTAATATTTGAAATATTATACACAGACCCTCTAAAATTTATATACACATAACACTTAAACCTCTGCCGTAAATATATCTGTTAATAAATTACATCTAAACATCCTAAATTTTGTAAATATATATTTTATTATTAATTATTTAAAATTACACCGTATCTTACGATACACGATACGATATGATACACTATTTTTAAAAAACGATACACCTTCCGATACGCAATTTGACAACTATGATTATAAATTTATTATGAGAGTTATTTGGAGGTCATTTAAAAATTTTTGAAACTTTTGGGTAGGTCTGCAATTTCTGAAAACCTCTTGGGATGTGTCTGCAATTTAATGATGAGAATCGTGTTAGAATAGATAGATATTATAAATTTATTATGAAAGTTATTTAGAGATTATTTAGTATTTATCTTTTTAGTAATATTTTTTAACTTTTGAGGGCATAGTTGTCATTATATATTTGTTATAGCATATTGTTTTCCCTATATATTGTAACACCCTGCATTTTTTTTATATATGTATATAGATATATAGTAAATAATTGTGGTAAAAAAAAATGTGGATATATGTAGTGATGTGTGTTTGAATTTGGTAGATTGAAAAAGTAGAGATTTAAAATGTTAGTGAAAATAATAGTTGAAATATGATTTTAATAAGTGAAAATATGAAATTATAGGTCCTAAAACTTGTATTAAATAGATTTGGTGTAGAAATATGTGTTGAAGAGGTTTGGGATGAATTTGGTTGGTTTAGGAATGGATTGGAAATGGAAAAGGGACGAAAACAGGCTGTGAACAGTGCACTGCTGCAACTTCAAGCTCGATTTAGACCTTGATGTAGTCAATATCTCTCAAAACTCAAAACATGAAAGTTTTAGAGCTCTTTCGTATCATTCCATAGGATCTTGAATCATCTCAATCGGAGCTTGGATGAGAGAGTTATGCTCAGATAACGAAACGATGTCGAAATAGTCCAATTAGCTTCGTTTTGCATTTAATGTCTCCATTTGCATTCTAAATCAAAATATAAGAATAATGAGTACTTTTAGGCTTCAAATAAGTATAAAAGACTTTAAGAAACACCCTTTATCACATTTTATTTGCAAACATCGCAAAACTTCATTAATAGCCGATTCGGATGAGTAAAATAAAAATTTTAGTGTTTCAGGTGTACGTTGACTTGAATTTTGAGATAAATCATAAAAATAAATATTTTTAGGTTAAAATAATATTAAAAATGAATCCGGAACGTCGACAAACCTTAGGGTAGTCATATGGATCAAATTGGAGATTCTTAGTGGCAAAATCGTAAATTTGAGAAATCCAAAACAGCCTGTGAACAGTATTTTTCGGGGCTGCTATGTTTTAAACTCATTTACTCTCATTTCCTTCACTCCCCTCACACCCCCACACCTCTTGAAACCCTAGAGGGCATTAGAGAAGAAGAAAGGAAGGGAAAAAAAGAAATTCAAGGGTGATTCAAGATCAAATATTCTTGTTTTTCACTCCAAAGCTAAGGATTCAAGGTAGAGGTTTTCTCTCATTCACTTACATTGAGGCTAGGGTATTTATATATGTATATTTTGACTATCAATGGTATATATATGCTATGGAATCATCCTCTCTTAGGCTTTTTGCAAGGATTACATATTTTGAACAAAGTAGGGTTTAATACCCATGAAATCTCCTTTCTAGTTTTAAAACCCTAATTTTTGGAGAGTGATGTATTTCCTTCCTAAATGCTTTTTTTATTATGGATTTCGAAACCTTAGTGCTTTGTGTTGGGTAGAAAAATAATTTTATTGTGATCTCATGTATTTTCTTAGTTGGTTGTAGAATTGTTATATGATATATTTTGAGAATTTTAGATAGATGCTTGTAAATTGAGATAAATGTTGAAATTGTATGTTTGGTTGGGTTGTTTGTGATGCACATGAGTGAGAGGTTCCTTGTAAAGATGTTCACCCCTTCCCAAGAAGTTCCCGGTAAGGATGCTTAAAAAATAATGTAGTGATTGATGAGAGGTTCCATATAAGGATACTCATCCATTTTCAAGAGGTTCCGGTAAAGATGCTTGAGAATCAAAGGTGACCTAAAGGGGAGTGGAGGTTACCACAAAGTATGCCACCTACCGAAAGAATTGTTGAAAATTGGTTATGGCAATTAATGGTTATTATTTGTATGTGGTGCTCGTTTATTCATTTAAGTAATATTTTTAAATAAACTTGAGATCCTTTTTAAATGTCACTGCTTTATTTCAAATTATGTATCTATGTTGTTAAAATTGAGACCGACTGTTTTAAATGTTTTTCTAAACCTTGTATGGGTTTGGGAGAATTTTTTTTACAGAGCTTCGTACTCACCCCCTATCACTAACATTTTTCAGATTACCCGCTTGAGGAGGAGGACGTAAGGGTCAAGGAGCCCAATACTTGGGAGACTCCACTAGACGGGAGTGTGGATCCCGAGGTGGACGCATAGAGCGACCTCCTTTCCTTTTGTACTAGAGTAGGACATTCTTTTGGAACATTGTGTAGTCTAGCTTCTTTTGTTTATTCCGCTGCGCTTCTTTAATTAATTTTTGAGATGTAATAGCCATGACTTGGACTTATTCTTTTGGATAATGTTGTAAATATTCGTGGATGACAAATGAAGTCTTGTTTCTTAAGGGATTATATTGGTGCTCTCATGATATGAATGGTTTTAGAATGTAATGCCGTCCAGGGTGTGTTTTGGGGCGTTACAAAATTGGTATCAGAGCTTAGGCTTTAGGTCTTACATGGGAGCTGTAGGTTATGAAATCACCTGTAGAGCTTTAGGATTAGGGTGAATCAAATCCTTGAGTGAAATTTTATACATGTTCTATGCCTTAGCTTAACCTAATATTTAGGATGTCCTGTACATCCATGAACTAAGTTGTGAACTGATGTGCAGGATGAACGGACAGGGACGCAGACGTGGGCGTGGCTGTGGAGGTCAAGCGAATCCACCACCTCCGAATGCCATGCAAGGCATTTACCAATGCTTGAGGGAGCTCACCACTTTGGTACAAAACCAAAATGATTAACAACCACAATGGTGGAACTCATCCTCTCGCTCAAGTACCGGGCAATGGGAACGGAGACCGAAGGATGATAGCTCTTCGGAAATTCTTAAGACAATGACCACCCAATTTCCAAGGGAGCTCCAATCCTTTGGAGGCAGATAGATGGATCGGCCGAGTGAAGAAGATCTGTGACGGCATGGGAGTTGCCGAGGAGTTGAGAGTTGATTTGGCGACCTACCTGTTTGAAGGGGAGGCCGACTGTTGGTGGGATGCCATAAAGAGGAGAAGGGACACCGATACACTCACTTGGGAAGAGTTCGATCAACTTTTTCAAGATAAGTACTTTCCTGAATCGGTCAGAGACCGAATGAAGGCGAATTTTTTGCACTACGACAGGGTAGTATGACCGTGGCTGAGTATGAGAGGCGGTTCGACGAGCTCTCCCGTTATGCTACAAGATTTATATCTAATGAGGCCGACAAGGCCAAACGCTTCGAGCAGGGTCTGAGGCCGATCATCAAAGAGAAGTTGGTGGCTCTCAGGATCCGTGATTTTGGGAACTTGGTGGACAAAGCTGCACTGGAAGAGAGAGACATAGAGGATAGCCAGCGACGACAAGGCTTCTCGAGAGGAGGTCCGATCCAGGCGGGTGCTTGCACTAGTGGGGCACTGAGACCAGCACCATACCGTCACCTAGACCAGAGCCCGAGGAGTGGGAGACACTCAGACTAGAGCCGGTATTACCCAACGATCCTGCTTTGCATGCGGAGGTGTGGGACATATTCGGATGCATTGCCCAATTTTTCCACCTTAGGGGCCTATCCAGACCGCCAGACAGGTTCCAGCAGCCCAACCACCACCACCACTGAGGCTTGCACCGCAATGACCGATACAAGCTCAAGCCCCCGGCGGCGCCAACCAAGGGCGAGTATTTGCTTTGACTCAGCCGAAGGAGGACATTGCCAATGTTGGTGTGAAAGGTATCGTCCTTATTTACAATTCTTGGGCCCGAATATTATTTGACCCCGGTGCAACACACTCATTTGTACGCACGACATATGCACTTGATTTGGGATTGAGTTTCGCGAATCTAGAGCATGTTATGAATATTAGCTTGT